AAATCCCAGAATAAAAAAAAAGAGGCTGGGAGCTTCAGTCGCCCACCAGCCTGAAAACGGCCCTCAGCCCCTCACCCAGACTGGCCAGGCACCCCAGTGGGGGACCCCCACCCTGAACCAGATCACCCTTCAGGGCAAACCAGCCGGCCCCCACCCATGCACCAGGCCTCTATCCTATATAGTAAAAGGGTAATATGCAAACTGACCCTAACAGCAGAAAGACTGGGAATGACTGGTCACTATGACACACACTGACCACAAGGGGGCAGACGCTCAATGCAGGAGCTGCCCTCTGGTGGTGAGTCACTCTCACAGCGGGGAGCTCTGCTCAGCCACAAGCCAGGCTGATGGCTGCCAGTACAGCGGTGGTGGTGGGAGCCTCTCCTGCCTCCACAGCAGCGCTAAGGATGTCCGACTGCAGCTTAGGTCTGCTCCCTGCTGACAAGTGGGCATCCCCCGAGGGCTGCCGGGCTGCCAGAGGGATGTCTGATTGCCATCTTAGGCCCAATCCCCCAGGGAGCAGGCCTAAGTGGTCACCCCCAAGGGGTCCCAGACTGCGAGAGGGCACAGGCCTGGCTGAGGGACCCCCTACAAGATAGCCACCACAAGATGGTCGGCAGGGGAGGGCAGTTGTGGGCAATCAGGCCGGCAGAGGAGGGCAGTTGGGGGTGAACAGGCTAGCAGGGGAGGGCAGTTGGGGGCAACTGGGCCAGCAGGGGAGGGCAGTTGGGGGCGACCAGGCCTGCAGGCGAGGGCGGTTGCGGGGGACCATGCCTGCAGGGGAGGGCAGTTAGAGGGGACCAGGCCAGCAGGAGAGGGCAGTTAGGGGCGACCAGGCCTACAGGGGAGGGCAGTTGGGGGCAGTTGGGTGATTGGGCCAGTAAGGGGTGGGTAGTTGGGGGCAACCGGGTCGACAGGGGAGAGCAGTTGGGGGCAATCGGGCCAGCAGAGGAGGGAAGTTGGGGGCAATTGGGCCAGCAGGGGAGCAGTTAGGCATCAATCAGGCAAGCAGGGGAGCGATTAGGGGGCAATACGGCTGGCAGGCAGAAGTGGTTAGGGGCAATTAGGCAGGCAGGCAGGCAAACGGTTAGGAGCCAGCAGTCCCGGATTGTGCGAGGGATGTCTGACTGCCGGTTTAGGCCCGATCCCTGTGGATCACTTAGGCCCACAGGGATCGGCCTAAACCGGCAGTAAGAAATCCCCTGAGGGGCCCCCAAATTTGGAGAGAGTCCAGGCCAGGTTGAGGGATACCATGCACAAATTTCGTACACCCGGCCTCTAGTTAGATCATATTAAGGAGTAGATTCTGAAAGAGAAGTGGCCCTCGCTTTCTAGGAAGGATTTTAAGGCAGAAATGCTGTAAATAGCCTCACTGCCAGATTTCCAAGGCACAGAAAGAGCATTTGAAAAAAGTAGAATAAGACTCAGAATAAAATGATGTCCTTCACATGGAACAACTAGATGCTTCCACACTCAGTTAAATACTGGAAGAAGAAATCTCTGAATACATTTATAGATACAATAAATAGAAAAGCATTTGAAAAATAAGTGTCCTATATTGCACTAAAAAATAAAATAGAAAAGGTAAAGTGGATGATGAATCAAAGTGTTCTGAAGAAGAAATCAAGCACCCCATTTTGGTTTTACCCTTAAACTCAACGATAAATTTCTCTAAATATTAAAAGACAACCTTACAAATATTTTATTGATACAGATACTACGCTATCAACCTACTACTTCAACATAACCTCCCTCTGTGTCACCAAACCACTAAGATGTGAGTATCTCCAATAACTCTCGAACAGTTCTCAAATCCTACCCCATAAATGTCTAAGAAACTTTCGACCAAGGAACATTCTTTTCTCCTCTGTGCTGGCTTAATAGGTAATGATTTGCTACACAAATGCAACTGCCAGATAAATATTCTTATAGCTTCTTCCCTGAAATCACAGAAGAGTACCCTATCATAATGAAGTCATGGCAAACTTGAATTCAAATTGAAGATTTCAACTAGGCGCCAGTCATCTTGTTGGCAGAAATTCTACCTACATTGGCAGATATAGTGGGCGGAACCCATCAAGGTTCAGAGTGACCCATCCAAAAACTAGACCCAAATTTCCCTAATAGCTTCAAAAACCAGAATCTAAAGGTACTAAAAACAATAGTCAGAAGTATATTAGAAGACTCCTTAAACATTGTACCATCCCTAGCCAGTTTTGCTCAGTGGATAGTGTCAGCCTGTGAAATGAAAAGTCCCAGGTTCAATTCCAGTCAAGGGCACATGCTAGGGTTGTGGGCTCGATCCCTCATGGTGAACTTGCAGGAAGAAGCCTATCCATGATTCTCTCTCATCATGGATGTTTTTCTTTCTCTCTCCCTCTCCCTTCCTCTCTGAAATCAATAAAAATATATTTTAAAAAAACACACTGTACCAGTCTTCATAACATTCCTATTCTCCTAATCAAAACACTCAGTGGGTGGGTATAGTGTCATTCAGGACTTCAGAACTATAAAGACCAGTCATTACCTACTCCCTTGTAGCACCAAATGTAAATGCTACTTTATCTTTGGGTCCTCTGAAGGCAATATATTTTAGACCCATGTTCTGCTTTCTTCAGTATCCATTAGCTCAAAATAGCTAATACTTGTCTGCCTTCTAGGAAAATCTGTAACATATTCCTGAAAAGTTCAGGAATTCCCTTGAACTTTTCACAAGTCCCTAAACAAGACCTCAAAACAATAAAGTTCCCTGTGATCACATTTTTATCTTTTATGTGGATAACTTTTTGTTCCCAAAAGATGAGGCAGGCTCTAAGACTGACTCCATCTTTACTTCCTGTTTTGGCTAAGAAAGGACATACGGTTCCCAAAGAGAAGTGGTTATAATTCTGTCAAAGTAAAATGCATTGCTTAGGGCATGACTTATTTCGAGGAGGTAAATCCCTGGTTCCTCAATACCAGCCCTTGAAACTTCAAATAAATATCCTGAACCAGGAAGTCTCTTCCCCCTATCATTTTCAATGCTGTATGTTTTTCCTCTGTGTTCTACAGTATTTGTCTACTTGATCTTCCAGGTCACTAACTCAGATTTCAACAATAGCTATTCTTTTTTTGTTATCTACTGAACTGTTCTGTGGAGAAGTCTTCTTTAACAGCTCCAGAAAGCTTTGTTCTGCAATTGATTCTCCCTAAGTGCTCTCATTATTATGTCCTGGGCCACTCTAATTCTGGGAGTTTTATTGCTTTTCTGTTTTTCTTTCTGGGTGTTAGCTGTGATTTTTCTTTCTCAGATGACTGGAACTCAGCTTTGGTTGCTCGAGTATCCCAAGTGACAGCAAAACCACAAGAAGGTACAACAGGTAGAGCAGATACTGATCTCAGCTCATCACTCCCTCCTATCATAGAATTATACATTTAATGTCCTCTGTGGCAGGGCTTCTCAGTCAATAGTGTGGACCTCTCAGTCCCACTGGTGCAGAATTAACAGTGTGCTGGTTCTCAGAGAAGATGTTAAGGGATGATCTAGGCATGTCTCTGCTCACCCTGTTGTCTTGTCATCTGCCATGAGAGAAACCTGCTCCAAGTAGACTGGTCTCAAAATGAAAGCAGAGAGACATGAATTCAGATCCACAGCCTAAACCAGTGATGGCGAACCTTTTGAGCTCAGCATGTCAGCATTTTGAAAAACCCTAACTTAACTCTGGTGCCGTGTCACATATAGAAATTTTTTTATATTTGCAACCATAGTAAAACAAAGACATATTTTTGATATTTAGTTTATATATTTAAGTGCCATTTAACAAAGAAAAATCAACCAAAAAAATGAGTTCGCGTGTCACCTCTGACACGCGTGTCATAGGTTCGCCATCACTGGCCTAAACTGTCCAAGCTAACCCACAGATCCACAAATGAGAAAAGCAAATGTCTATTTTGAAAACCACTGAGATTTTGAGATTGACTGTCACAGAGCATCCTGGCAGCACACACACACAAAGCCTGATCAATATGACAAATATGAGCAGCAACCACCTCCTAGTACCTCAGTGATGCACTGAAAACAAACATCTACCCTTCCTCAAACATCCCTGCATTCTAGCCTCACCGCCCTAGTTCATCCCTGATCCCTGGGAGGCCTGAGAAAACCGGCAAATGTTGACTGAAAGATCTCTGGAGCCCGTTTCTCTTCCCAAGAGGATCCCCATTTCCACCCTTGTCCCAGGGGCTTTCCTAGGTTGGTCTCTGGTCCTTGACCAGTCCTTAAGATAGCAATCCTGCAAACGCTAAGTCAGTGGGACAAGAGCACCCAGGCCCCTTTTGCATATGGATTATCTAAAGCCCTACTCCAGCAGTTACTGGGGTCTACAGAGGAAGACAGACTGGACTTGGTAATTAAAATGATAGAATAATTTATTCAGGTTATAATTTTCCCAGAACTAATCTTTTTAAAATATTTATCAACCATGATTTTTTACTGATATTTCTCTAGTCAAATGCTATCTGTTTCTCTAAATGTACTTCTTCTTGGAATCAAAATGAGAAAAAAGGAGAAAAAATTGGGTATGTATATATGGAAAAAAAGGCCAAATCCTACCTACCACTTACTTTATGGAATAGGTATACAGTATTATTGCATCATACAGAATTATACCAAGACCTACCTATAAAATCAGGTTTTAAACATTTAAATACATTTGCAATGAACTTATTTAACATCACTTAAGACTCTCCGTCTAAAAAGTCTTCCTCAAAAGAAGGGCTTCTGTCGTGCATGGCACACGCAGAGCAGCCTGACTGCTCCACGTGCAGAGTGAACACCAAGAGATTCGGAAGCATAATTTTTTGGTACTTGGGCAGCTGGCAATCATTGGTCCTGGAACCCACGGGGGAAAAAAAAAAGTCTTCCTCTATTGAGATTAGGAAGTCTGTAAATAACAAATATCAAATTGGCTTATAGTCAAATAACTATATGCCTCTGAAGGTTCAATACTGTCCCCACTTACCATTTTCAACAGATGCATCCTCAGGCAGATCCACATCAAGCATAAGGTCATCATCCTCCAGATCACATGATTCAAGATTATTCAGAATATCCTGTGAACAAAAGCAGTAGAAATGCTATGACCTAGTTCCAGGATGTAAGTAATCATTAGTTCTGAAAACATGAATATATGATAATATGAATTTACTCAATGTTTGTGTGTGAAGAACAGTTTTTAGAAATAAAATTTTTTAAATAATAAAAATAGACTCAACTGGTTTACCTGATTAAGCTATTTGTAACATCCTTTTCCTAGTCTTCCTCCCCATCAGATTTTTACTTTGAAAAACACACTGAAAGATATTGTTCTAAGCACTTTACAAATATTCATTCATTTATAACATAACCCTATGATTTTGTGACTAGTACAATTCCCATATTATATATGATGAATTTAATGCACAGAGAGCCTAAATAATTGGCCAAAACAGGATAGGAACATAAGAAATCTATCTAATACAATATACAGATTATGTACTATAGAATTGTATACCTTAAACCTATATAATTTTATTAACCAATGTTACTCCAGTAAGTTCAATTTTTAAAAAAAGAATCTACCAAATCTTATTCATATCTGGTGTAGGAGGTTTTGTTTTATTACCTCTAGGGATTGGACAACTTATGTAAAAATAAAATAATCCTTTAACCCTGTGATTATTCCATTCCTTTCTTGTGCCAAAGCTACCTACTACTACCTTTAGCACCAATACTACCTCCTTGCTTGGCCTTAATTCATTCTTTTTCTATAATAGGACTGGAGTAGTCAAATGGCTATTAGGAGCCCCTCCTGTGTTCGATTTGCAATCTCGCTAGCTAATCTCTATCCTTAAAAAAGTAATGTTTTGCTTTCAAAGACCCTTGTTCTAAAGTCTAAATAACTAAATAAACAAAACTAAGTTTAAGGTAACAAACTCAGTTTGACTTATAACCCACTAGTGGATCCTTTCAATTCAAGAACAGATTCAACACTGCAAGACCTGTCCTTAGCATATACATGTAAGAAGATCACAAATCCACAAATTTTTAAATGACTTAGAGATTATGGCCTTGAAAGACTCTTATTAGACAGGAAATATCTACTTTATTGTGGACAATAAGAATAAATTAGCATTATTCCCTGTGTCAGGTATGCCATGCAAATCTTTTCAATTTTATGTTGAAATGGGTCCTTCCAATATATGCTGAGAACTAAAAATAACCTGAATAACTGTAAAGCTCTGGATAATTATTTAACCCTGGCACAAGGAAGGTATTTCATAAAACCTGTTTCAATTGTGAAAGATTTGCTTTCCTTAATACATAGTCTTCCTAAAAATCAAGAAAAAATATGAATATGAAAAAAAATGGCAAAGGCCATATGACAGACCACAAAGTAAATATAAATTAAACAATGAATAAATATGATGTAGGAAATAATGCTAACACCCGTTGACTTAACACGGTGAAAAAGAATCTAGTATTAATCTGCAATCAGACAGAATTAGATTCATATAAATTTTCTGGAGGACAATGTGTCAAAATTTAGCTAACAGTTTTTTTTAAAAAAGTAAATTTTTCCTTCGTAAGAATGTATGCCTTAGAAATAAACACATGCAAAAAACATATGTATAAGTATGGTTACTGCAGCATTATTCAGAAAGGCAAAAAAGCAGAAATAGCCTAAAAGTCCAACAATAGAAAAATAGTTAAACAGAAAGTATGATATAGTCATACAACAGAATATTGTTATTATTTTTAAAAGATAATAAAAATATATTTATAGACATGGAAAGATGTCAATTGGGGCAAAAACAGACTGGGTTCTTTTAATCTTTTGCTCTTAAAAATAATGTTTCAACAGGAACAAGACTGGGATGCCCACTCTCACCACTCCTGTTCGACATAGTACTGGAAGTACTAACCATTGCGATCAGACAAGAAGAAGTAAAAGACATCCAAATTGGAAAAAAAGAAGCAAAACTGTCCTTATTCAGAGATGACATGATACTGCACATAGAAAACCCTAAAGACTCCATCAAAAAATTATTAGACTTAATAAATGAATTCGGCAATGTAGCAGGATACAAAATTAACGCCAAGAAATCTATGGCATTTCTATACACCAATAGTGAACTTACAGAAAGAGATACTAAAAACACAATCCCATTTACCATCGCACCAGAAAAATGAAGATTCCTAGGAATAAACTTAACTAAGGAGGTAAAAGACCTATACGCAGAAAAGTACAGGACACTGAAAAAGGAGATAGAGGAAGACATTATCAGGTGGAAGAGCATACTGTGATCATGGATTAGTAGAATCAACATCATTGAAATGTCCATACTACCCAAAGCAATCTATAGATTCAACGCACTCCCCATCAAAATACCAACGGCATATTTCACAGACCTAGAAAACTCTCCAAAAATTCATCTGGAATAAAAAAGACCCCATATAGTCACAGCAATCCTGAGAAAGAAGAATAAAGTAGGTGGGATCTCAATACCAGATATCAAGCTATATTACAAAGCCACTGTTCTCAAAACTGCCTGGTACTGGCACAGAACAGACATATAGATCAATGGAATAGAATAGAGAACCCAGAAATCGACCCAAACCACTATGCTCAATTAATATTCAACAAAGGAGGCAAGAGCATAAAATGGAGTCAAGACAGTCCCTTCAATAAATGGTGTTGGGAAAATTGGACAGATACTTGCAAAAAAAAAATGAAACTAGACCACCAACTTACACCATTCACAAAAATAAAGTCAAAATGGATAAAGGACTTAAACATAAGACGGGAAACCATAAAAATTCTAGAAGAATCCAAAGGCAACAAAATCTCAGACATATGCCGAAGCAATTTCTTCACCGATACAGCTCCTAGGGCATTGGAAACTAAAGAGAAAATAAACAAATAGGACTACATCAAAATAAAAAGCTTCTGCACAGCAAAAGAAACCATCAACAAAACAACAAGAAAGCCCATTGCATGGGAGAACATATTTGCCAACGTTATCACCGATAAGGGCTTAATCTCCAATATTTACAGGAACTAATACAACTTAACAAAAGGAAGACAAACAACCCAATAAAAAAATGGGCAATGGACCTAAATAGATACTTTTCAAAAGAAGACATACAGAAGGCCAAGAGACCTATGAAAACGTGCTCAAAGTCACTAATCATCTGAGAGATGCAAATCAAAACAATAATTGGGTACCACCTCACACCTGTCAGAATGGCTATCATCAACAAATCAACAAATGACAAGTGCTGGAGAGGATTCGGAGAAAAAGGAACCCTCTAGCACTGCTGGTGGGAATGCAAACTGGTGCAGCCACTGTGGAGAACAGTATGGAGTTTCCTCAAAAACTAAAAATGGAACTCCCATTTGACCCAGTGATCCCACTTCTAGGACTATATCCCAAGAAACTGGAAACACCAATCAGAAAGGATATATGCACCCCTAGGTTCATAGCAGCACAATTTACCATAGATAAGTGCAGGAAGCCACCCATTGTCTTCACTATCAGAGAAGTATAAACAAAGATCCCAGAACACTGGTGAATCTTGAACCCATGGCAAGGGCCAGAGTTATGCACCGATTGTCTAATCCAGACAATGGGGGCAAAAGTTATTTCCTGATCAAATAGTCTCAGAGTAAACCCTTCTAATATTTACTGACCTTTAAGATTGTCTGTTACCGCAATTACCTGCCTAAGAGCTAGATGTGTACCCAACATTGAATAAAAGGCTGGCGAAGCCTGAGCACCAGTGGAAGTCCTTTGTCTTGCATTGGGCTTGCCCACTGGCCCAATGTTTCCAAATTATTATTTCTTGTCTCGTCTCTTTCATTTGCGTGCGGCCTCTCCTCCAGTTCCTGAACCCTGAACTATGAGGGCCATGGGAAAATTCACATCTGGCACCTCAAAGGGAAATCTGGAAGAGAAGACTTCGCCTAGAGCAAAAAACCAAGATTTATTCACTGGATAGGTGGGGACACCGGATAGGTGGGATATTAACCGCATGGAAAGCCCACGGCCAGCTGCAGAAATCACGATCTGTAAGTAGGGTGAGAACGTGTCTTTTTAGCCAGGCTAATGGGGCAGAATTCGGTTAAAAAGTGAGAAACTTTGTTGTCGGCTTTTGATTTGCATGCTTAAGGAATTAAAGTTTCAGAAGGTATTCTCTTACAGTTTTTGCATGTTATTATAAACATAACCCTTGGTTTCCTGAAGAAGGTACATTAGGTCTTGAATGTTGGGAGAACTTAGTCAGAACTTGAAAAAAAGCTCAGCAGCAGGGGAAAAACTTGCCTCCGAACTGCTTCTCCTTGTGGAACATGGTATTGCATTTGCTAAAGCCTTTTAGAGAGACTAAGGAGGATAAACTGCAGGCTGACTGCTCAAAAATGAAATGCTGGCAGGGCTGGGACAGTATAATGACGTGCAAAATCAGCTAAATTATGTGCAGAACACTTATAAGCAAATTAGACTTTGTGGAAAAACAGGACATTTTAAAAAAGAATGTAGGCAACCAAGAGGGACACAAGGTGGCGCTCCAGAGAAAGGTGCGAGCAATCTGCCTGCCGATTCGATCAATGCATATTCAACCTCTTTTATGTCCTAGATATTAAAAAGGAAATTATTGGGTACTTATCTATTAATTATTATTTTTCTTCGTTGTTTACTGTTAGTTTATTAAGCATGACTTTAATTTAATAAGAAAGAAATGATAGATGACCAGGCCATTGCTGAGTTTCCCCAGAACAAAAAGAATGCGGGAGTGGGGAGAGAAAAATTATGAGCAGTACACGTGGCCAATAATACAGGTTATAGAAAATTCCCTAGAAAAAGGGAAATAATTAAAAAATTACTAGGTCTCCTGGCGATCCTGTAAAATAGGCGCCCACTCTCAAGAGTGTTATTAAGTCTCATTTTTGCCATGTTTTTATTACCCAGTCCGTCATTTGAAATTTAAACAAATGACGCTCTGCCCGACTTCAGGTGACTTCATGAGCCCCAATCTCTTCACGGATGCTACAGAATAACCCAGACACTTTTCT